CCCTAAAACATAAAACCGTAAACCCCAAACCCTAAACCCTAAACCCTAAACCCTAAACCCTACACCCGGCCTCTCGCTTGCCTGGTCGCCTAGCCAATCCGATCCTTTAATGGTGTCGAAGGCATGCCACCGCCAGTCATCCTGTTCACATCACAAATCCCTAAACCCTAAACCCTAAACCCTAAACCCCAAACCCTAGCCATGCAAGCACGCATCACCCGCAAACCGCCGTGCTATCGGTCCTCAGCATGTTGCTGCAGCCGTTGCTGTTGGCGCTAGAAGGCAGCTAGCCACCCTCCTTGCGGAAGGTGTTCCTCTAGCTAGCTAGCTAGCTGGCTAGCTAGATAGCTAGCTAACTAGCTATGCCTGGAACGATGCGCTTGCCCCACTCGACAACACCTGATGTCAGCTAGCCAACTGCTCCGTTGGCTAGCTAGAAGCTTGACTAGCTACAGGGCTAGCTAGAGAACTACCTAGCTAGAAGGCTGGCTAGCTACAAGGCTAGCTAGCTAGAATAGATGACTGGCTAGCTGGCTAACTAGAAGGCGCTCCCTAGGGAAGGCAGCACCATCCTCAACGCCCCCGCATCGAAGTGCCCTGCTCTATAGGGTTGAGCTGGCTAGCTAGCTAGCTAGCTTAGCTAGCTTGCTTAGCTAGCTGCCTCTCTATCTAGATAGCTTAGCTAGCTGCCCCCCTAGCTGGCTAGCTAGCGGTAACGGCTCTCCTGCACTAAGATACATCGCTAGCTGGCTAGCTGGCTAGCCAGCTAGCTGAGCCTGGGGCTCTGAGGTCCCTCGTCGGCGGCGGGCATTCTCCCCCACGAGCTAATGCTGTTAACTGCCTCGAGTGCTGCCTCCATAGCCAGCCAGCTAGCTAGCTAGCTAGCTAGCTAGCTAGCCATATAGCTAGCTAGCTAGCTGTTGTGAACCTGACCTCGCACATGTTACCGAGGGCCGCGTTGATGCCGCCCTGCGCAGCGACTGTATGCGAACGAGTCGGGAAGAGTTTGCTAATGCATGCTGTTCGTAGACCTGAACCAGCAGCAGCAGCAGCAGCAGCAGCAGCAGCAGCAGTGTAGATGCACAACAGGACTGCTGCTGCTGTTGCTGCAGCTGCAGCAGCACGGAGAGCAGCAGCAACGGCAAGGGAAACCCTCCTCTTGCGACTAACAGAAGATTAACTGCGGAAACTTCAAAGGGCTTTATAACAATCTTGTCGCTAGGGTTTAGGGTTTAGGGTTTAGGGTTTACCTTGCGAGGCCAGCCCAAATGCCGCCCGAAGGCCGGCGCCCCCCGCACCCACAACAACAGCATCATACGTGTGCGTCTTTACCTCATAACCACCTGTAGCAGCAGCAGCAGAAGCAGCAGCAGCAGCAGCAGCAGCGGGAGGTTGGAGGAACGCTAGTGTGTACGCCTAGCAGCAACAGCAGCAGCAACAGCAGCAGCAACAGCAGCAGCAGCAGCAGCTTCACAGGGACACGCGGCTTCCTCAGGCTCACCAATCTTTGAAACTGTCGGTCCTGATGCTGCAGCAGCAGCGGTGGAAAAGCAAGCTGTACGGTGGGTGCTGCTGCTGCTGCTGCTGCGTGCAGCAGCAGCAGCAGCAAGGCTGCTAGATATGTGCCTCTTAAGTGATGCTGCGATCATCGTTGCAGCAGCAGCAGCAGCAACAACAACAAAAACAACAGAGACAATTCAAAATAGAAGAAGGAAGCCACACTCGGACAAAAGACGGCAGCGCTGCTGCTGCTCCTGCTGCTGCTGCTGCTGCTGCTGCTGCTGCTTCAGCTGAAAGAAGGTGGGAGAAACACTCGCTGCTCCCCAAGCACTGGGCTTGATTCGGGTTGCCAACGCTGCTGCTGCTGCTCCTGCTGCTCCTGCTGCTGCTGCTGCTGCATGCAGCAGATCCAGCAGCAGCTGTTGCTGCTGCTGGAGCGGACTCGGCGCAGCAGCAGCAGCAGCAGCAGCGGCAGCAGCAGCAGCAATTGTTGCATTGTCTACTTGAGTTTTTTTGTCAATTTCAACAAAACTTTTGCATTAATTTTTTTAATTTCGCCCTGCCTTTTACCTAACACACATGCTGTGGCGTGTGGGGTGTATCTGCAGCACAGGAACGACCGGAGCAGCACGAGCAGCAGCAGCAGTAACAGCAGCAGCAGCAGCATTGTCTTCTATTAGTTGACTCACCTTCTGCTGCAGAGGAACAATCTGATTCTCTTACTCGCCTAGGGGCCCCCACCTTCTCATGTGTAGCCCTTCGGCGAGTAGCAGCGGCAGCAGCCGCATCTTCAGCAGCAGCAGCAGCAGCAACAGCAGCAACAGCAGCAGCAGCAGCAGCCGCAGCAGTAGAGCGCAATGGACGCAGGAAATGTGGGGAGGCGATCGGGCTACAGGGGCCAACAGCAGGGAGTAGCTGCAAGTGCTGATGCTGCTGCTGCTGGTGCTGCTGCGGGTGAAGAACGTTTGAACAGAAGAGCAGCAGCAGCAAGACCAGCAGCAGCTGCTGCTGCTGCAGAGGCAGACGCAGCAGCAGATGGATCTGCTGCTGAAGCCCCACAAGAGGGATATTTCGAGGAGGGTTACGACGATGCGGAGACAATCTATGAGCTGAGTGCTGCTGCTGCTGCTGACTTCCTGCAGCAGCAGCTGCAGCAGGGAGCAGCAGCAGCAGCTGCTGCTGCAGGCCCGTCAGGCCAATACCGTCTGTTGCTGCAGCAGATGCCAGAGGGACCCGAAGCAGCAGCAGCAGCAAGAGCAGCGCAGCGCAGCAGCAACCCTTGGGAGCGCTCGTCAGATGTGCAGCAGCAGCCTCTCTCCGTTTCTGCCTGGGAGTCTGTATTAGCAGCAAGAGGAATCAGTTATTCAGCAGCAACAGCAGCAGCAGCAGCAACAGCAGCAGCAGAAGGGGGCTTGTCCTCGTCAGTAGAGGCAGGTGAAGCGCCGCAGGAAGCTGCCTCTGCACCAGCAGCAGCAGGAGGAGGCGCAGCAGCAGCAGCAGCAGCAGGAACAGCAGCAGCAGCAGCAAATAGAATTCTTTCTTTTCAAGATCTAGGGATTCTGCCTCCTCTGCTGCGAGCCCTTACAGCACAATGTTATAACGTGCCTACGCCTGTGCAAGCAGCAGCTCTACCTGTCACTCTAGCTGGCCACGGTAACAAACCCTAAACCCTAAACCCTAAACCCTAGCGAGTTCGAAACCCTTACTGCCCCCGGACAGTCCCTGCGCAAACCCTAAACCGTCACAACAGCGGCTATGCAAGCATTAGCCCCTTGCCGCGCAAACCCCTAAACCCTAAACCCTAAACCATTCACAAACCCTAAACCCTAAACCCTTAGATCACTGTCAATTCGAAGCCCCAAACCCTCGGCCTTCTCCAACAGAGCAGCAGGTGCGTGTGCGTAATGCGCCTTGCCCCACATCTTGAAACCCCTTCTTAGGGTTTAGGGTTTAGGGTTTAGGGTTTGGGGTTTGGGGTTTGCAGACGCTGTGATTCAAGCAAAATCAGGAACGGGTAAGACAGTTGCGTTTGCGCTGCATGCATTGCAGCTGCTGCTGCTTGCTGCGGAGCGAGAGGAGCCGGCAGCAGCAGCAGCAGCAGCGGCCGCAGCGACAGCAGCAGCAACAACCCCAGCAGCAGCAGCAGCAGCAGCAAACACTGCAACAGCAGCAGCAGCAGCTGGAGTCTCAGCACAGTTCTTTGGCTTCGCCCTCGTCGTTGCTCCCTCGCGTGAACTCGCAGCACAAACCCGCAGTGAAATCCAAAGCCTAGGCGCCCACATCAAACAAATCGTAAACCCTAAACCACAAACCCTAAACCCTAAACCCTAAATATGCAGTGAAATCCAAAGCCTAGGCGCCCACATCAAACAAATCGTAAACCCTAAACC